CTGAAGATTGCTGCAATTGCTGCAAATGTTGGTATGTGTTTTCCGGCTTATGCCTCTGTATCCAAATCGGCCGACACTGATCCTAGAAAATTACACAATTTGCCCTCGGATTTAGGTCTAATAGGAGCTGAGGTGGGAGACCTTTGCACGTAAACTTTTCATTTTCATTTCCATATCAGATACCTTTTGATTATAAAGATAATTTTCATATCTATGTCGTTTTCCCTATTGTTTAAAGTCTTGAAAGCTTTAAATCATCAATAGGCGCATATTCGCGTGCGTGTTGTGTATCAGTCTAGGATCGGGCGATCAGTGTCACTCGTTCCAAGTATGGACGTAGTCTAAGTCTTCCACGCATCTCAGTTGTGCTACTCCTTGGCCGCATTATAACCTTTTCCTAGCTCGATGAGCAGATTGTTTCGGGAATGCACGTTAAAAGTGTCGTTCAAATCATCAATTCTTTCACTGTAGACATTTACAACTGAATTCAAATGCCAATGCTCGGACCAACTTAAAGACTCTTTGGAAGAGCTGAATGTCTATATATTCTTGTTACAGCTCGATGCTTGCGATCCGCCGACTGCTAACTGTTGAAACGCCAGCAGTATGTTCCCGAGTTACATTTCACAATCGCAGCTCAGTACCTCGGGTAGTTGACGATCGCGAGAAAGCCCGTGCTTTGCCCGACGATGCCGGCTATGTCTACCGCTATCATCGTCCTGGAGTCGATCCGCTTCCACGAATCCCTGGCTGTCGTGTCCCCGTCGCGCGACCTTCATACCACATTCGCGATGCTTGGCGTGAATCACAAGCGCGATTCGGCCAAAATGACTATATCGATCTGCTCGGCGATGGGCAACTGCATCCAGCCATGCTACAGTACCATACTCCAAAATGGCTGAGAGGATTCCCTGGGCAGCATAGAGCAAATGAACTGGTGAAATTAATTCACTATCGGAATCTGTACTCGGAAAAATTGAAACAAAATTCACCGAGAAGATGGCATGAACTCTGTAAGAGGATCAAATATCTCTTAAAACATCATAATTA